TTATTTTCAAAGTTAAAAACCGGACCATCCACCGATCTCATAATTGAATTCGCTTACGTCAATTATCTGAAATAACCAGGGACCTGGGGGAGGGGACGGATATTTCAGATTTCGAATTTTTTAATGTAAATTTACCGTTTATTAGAGGGAAATGTCTGTTTCCGAAGACGTGCATCGCCTTGCAAATCATATTGCCGACGAAGGTTTTAGGCGAGAGGGCGAAAAAAATGAAATCGCTCATCTCGCTCGAAAGCTCGAAAAGGCACTTTCTAACCCCGCTGATTCCAGGTTAAAAAAAAAAGGAAAGAAAAATAAACGGACTGCTTCCTGACCGATAAGGCAGGGCCTTCTTCAAAGTCCGTTCACTTCAGGGCAAATTGTGTTTGATCAGGACTACCGCGTAATCGACTTCGATCTTCCTCTTAAATATGATCTCCTTCCACCCGGGAGGTAATCAGAGGGCACGATCACTTCGGGAGGTAATCAGAGGGCACGATCTCTTCGGGAGGTAATCAGAGGGCACGATCTCTTCGGGAGGTAATCAGAGGGCACGATCACTTCGGGAGGTAATCAGAGGGCACGATCTCTTCTGCAAGCGATCCTCCTCATACCGTGTACCCATTCAACTTGCAGTCATTAGGTTCTTTACTTTCTCATGGTGTGGAACGTTCATAAGCAGAGATCAAGAATGCAAATATAACTGATTCCTGGAAGTCATCTATTTCAAAATTGAAATCCTTTTTTCGCTAGCTCCATTTTTCCGCACCCGACCCGGAATTCATCGGTCGACCGTGCCTTGCGAGCCCCAAACACATGGTTCCAAATTGCAGCTGCGGGTCCCCTTTGAATTTCCGCAAGCTCCTCCCTGAGTTTGCTGAAATTTCGCTCATAGGGAAATCCAGTTGGAGGGAAAGATGACACGATCCAACCCACACTCTTGATCCAAAAAACGGGGCTGCTTGCAATTGAAAAGGTGTGTCCCGTTCGAATGCCACACGACCACGTAACTCACGGTTGGTTACATTTTTTTAAAATTTTTCTGTTTCCACGAGAGCACGACAGAGAAGAACGGATCTCGTCCGATTGCCGGGAACTGAGTGAGAGAAGTTATTCGAATGCATGACCCATGAGAATATTTCTCTCGAAAATGGAATTAATGAATGGATTTTCCCCTCTCCTTTTTTTTTCAGGGAACAGTGACCTCTCCAGTCATACCAAGTTGGTGTCCTTGGTGGAAAAATGGACTTGGACACGGAGAATATCTCTTCTGGGAGAGCAAATTATATGCAACCAACAACTTTCCTTGGAGAAGACCAAATAAATATCATACCTGTGTCTGAACGACTTCTTACGACTCTCGGAATTAAAGAAAAGGGAACAAAATTATTCCATTCTTACAGTATGAGAGGACATTAGCGGTTCAGTTTCATGGAGAGAAAACCGAACCAATTGGCTCTGGCTTCACAGTGAAACGGAAAAAAAAGGATTCTCGGAGCGAAAAACATGCCAATTGGCTCGGGTTCGGGAGAGAATACGAATGGTATCGGGATCCAGGGCTGATATCAGTATCGACACCGCAAAAGAACATCTTGGCGATTATGCGAAGAGGATTGGAAGAATTCGGGTTATGAAATACATAGTTGTTCACATTCCGCTCCAATTTTCATTCGAGGCATTGAGTACTATGATGCAATAAGCTCAAGGAGAGATGTGTAAGGCTGGACTGAAACATAATGATTTAATCCATAATTGGACGTGTACCAGGCATATATATATATTTCCCGGAAAAACATCACTGAATACCTGACAACTAAAAATGTTTAGGACAAATTGCTTACAACAGCAAATCCTGCTTCCCCTCCCGAAAAAACAAATTGGAATTGATTTAAATGGAAGCATGTTTTTTTTCTGCAGGATTTTTATTTTCCAAGTTAAAAAGTGGAGTATTTATAGACCTCATAATCGAATTTGCTTACGTCACTTACCTGAAATAATCAGAGAACCGGGGGTGGGGCACTATTATTTGAGATTTAGATTTTTTGTGCGAATTTTTTCGTTGTAAGGAAGTTTCAGTTTCCGAAAACGAGTATTGCCTTGCAAATCACATTGCCGGTGAAGGCTTCAGGTTTCATCTTGCTCCAAAGCTCGACAGGGCGGTTTCTAATTCCCCAGATTGCATGTAAAAAAAAAAAACATTCCTCACCACAGGGATGTCGATGGTGCCCGCCCTGCCTCCATCAACCCGTGCATATAAGGAGTTCGAACCGCTCAATTTCTGATGGAGGTGAAGCGGCTCCTCTGGCGACGGCGAGGAAACAATTTCTGAGGCATGAGGTCTCCTTCCGGAACGCTTTCCCACCGAGTAAAGGGAACTTTCCAAAAAAATTTAATTTTTAAATATCCATTCTTTGTTTGGACATTTAACGATCTGATGTGTTGTACCGGATTTATTCCTTCGATATTGCTCCTTTCCTCCCATTCCCCAGTGCTAATTACCATTGCCCCCCCAGTGCTAATTACCATTAAAAATGAAGATGCTTGCTCGATCGTCTTCATTTCGTGCTATATTGTGAATTTGTTCTACTCCAATCATGTCTATGGTGTTAGGCGATGTCAGAAAAGTTATGAAAATATAAAAATTATGTTCCGGCTGTACACCGATGCAATTTACGCTAAGAAAAGGGGATTGTCAGCGGCATTCAGACCTGTCCCTTCCTGCCACGAATTCGCCAGCTTTCGAGGTGTTAATAGGGAGAGAAACGAGCTCTTGCTGTTTTGTCACCCGCCTCCTTCCTTTTGAGGGGGTAAGTCGGATAGAAATTCATCGCCGTTGGGGAAAACTGGTTCAGGGTGAGTAAGGCAAGTGTTTATGAGTGGGTGAAGAAGTCTATTAGATTTTAAGATTTAAAGATGGGAGGACTCAGATCGAAGTGATCGACTTCGTCCAGCGAAGATGACGAAGCCCGCGTGGACGAACTTGCGTAAAACGGGCAGACGAATCGCGTTCCGCGGCAGTTTCGCGGAACTGCCGCGGACTGGGGAGAAGGCAGAATCGCAGCGAAGTGGATTCCCGAGAACCTGACGGCAGAGCAGATTCGCATCCAACCTCGGCTTCCCTCTGAAGCCGGAGCCATGAACCTCGAGAACATATTGGTTTCTCTACGTATTTTCATTTTACTTCCGGTGGCTTTCCTCGGAAAGGCAAAATATGTTCGTCCCGTTCGTAAGGGCGCGGCTCCAATTGCTTATTGTCTGCAGGAAGTTGGCTCCGGTCTGGCCGATGCTAGTGAAATTAAGTTTTGCATCCCCACTAGGGAGATGCAGTGAACAAATCGGAAAAGTTCCTTCTTTGCCAAGCGATTCCTAATCTTTCTCCATCTTCCATACCGAATTTGTTGGAGAGACGATGAAGGGGGGGGGGGGGGGGGGAGAAGGGGAGGGGGATTCTTTTTAACCCCTTTCGGTTGAAACATCTGCCTTCTTGCTTTCCCCTCTCAGACCAGATGCGAAAGATGAGTTTGAGCAAGATACTCCGAATGCGGGACCGCGCCTGCAAGGAAGGGCTTCGAGCCGAGTCCTGTTGAGAGCCCAACCGGTATGATTAAATTTCAGGACCAAAAGATTCGCGAGTCGGCGAATTCTTCCTCATTCACTGCGACGGATCGATAGCGAATTATCGGTCACTTTCCATCGCGTGGATGAGCCTCGCCACCGCTAAAATGGGAATTACTCGACGCGAGGACAGCAAATTCGCCAGCAAATACCAGCAAATTCGCTTTCCGGAAATTTGGCTATTTATATAAATACTGTCATCGCGGGACCGGCAAGGGCGAATTCCGTTATTCGACGCGGCGAACTCGGAGCAGGAGACTGGGGAATTCCTGTCCGGCGCGGTGGAGAGAGGTCTTGGCCTTGAATTATTTTTTTGTTTCTTCCTCGTATTCCCTTGGGATCTCAGAGCGGGTGATCCGTGAAATTCTGCGCTTCGTATCCCGGACGAAGCTGACTCCGAGGACTATCGAGCGGAATTTCGTCCGATGAAAACAGAGACGTGATTGGAATGAAGGAACAGTCCGCAGCCTTTTCTACAGCGATTTTTTATCTGAGAAACAATTTTGAGCAATTTGAGCAATTCGCATTCTAAGAAGAGCTTCGCCGAGAAAGGAAATGCAATTTTTTACTACCGTCCATGGCACCTAATGCCCGCATCATTTTAGTTAAAAATATGTCGAAAACATTGGAAATACTTGCATTTTGGAAGCGATGAGCAGTGGAAACGCTCTGCCTAATCTGAGATCGTCTTTAAGTTCAGTCCTAGTGTGTTGCTTCGGAATGTGATAAATGCGGTCCTTTTAAGGGCGAAAAACTTCGGGTATTCTGAGAAATTCAAGCGAGGAATCAGCTTCACCTTGGAGAGCATATATATTTTAGAGGTGCAAGTCTCACGTCGAGAAATAAATGACCAAGACTGGGAGTTTTTCATGGAAGATCATATTGATTTCAATAAAACAATTAAGCTCAAAAAATGAAGGAATATCGAAAGAGACGGAGTCCCTTCGGTCTCCGTCCGAAGATAAATTGCGGGGTTTTTCCCAGGTAAGAACCTTCCAAATCGCCAGGAATTTCGCCGGCATGGAATCTGTCCGGCTTCGCGAGTTGACTTCGCATTGAACGATTGAACGTCGGGCCCAAAAGGTCAACCGAAGGGCTGCGGGATTGGTGATCTCCTTGAAACATGCGATTGAGACATTTGGACGCCTTGGTTTCTGCGTCACATCAAAAAATTTATTCACATCACAATCTGGACGGGAATACAACATAGTCGCGAAACATATATAAAAACGAGCGGGCAGCTTTTTCTTTTAAGAGGAGACAACACCCATCAGAAAACAAGGAAACACTCGTTAGGAATCGGGGCCGCTCCGCCGATGCACGAGCCGAAACCCTCGGTTCTCTGAACAAGAATTGGAAAGGAAAACGCTCCTGGAAAAAAAATAGTTTCACACGGAATCGGGGATTCCCAGACGACTTCGGAAGTCGGAGAGAGGGATGAGCTCCCGCCTGTAGGATGGGGTCCTGGCCCGTCGCCTGAAGAAGAGACGTTTCACCTCCATCATGAAATGGGGATTTCGGATCCCGTAGATGTAGGGGTTGATGCAGGCCGAGGTCTTGCAGGCGAGGGCGGGAATCATCGACATCCCAGGGGTGAGGTATTGGGAACGCACGGCTCCTATTAAGACCACGGCGGCGTAGGGCGTCCAGCTCAGCACCCAGATCACCACCACCAGGATCACCACGCGGTTCAGCTTTCCTTGCAGCTGCAATACCAACCGAGAACGAGATGTCGTCGCCGTCGCTGTCGGTAACGTCGTGTTTGCTTACTTTTTGCTTCTCCAAGATGACGGATACGGTCAGTGATCCTCCGTCCTGTTTGGTGAGCAATAAGAGGGCCCCGTCGCTCTTTTTCGTGGCACGGACGATCCCGGCTTACGAAAACGTGATGATGCAAAGCGGAAGGAACCAGCCGATAGATGCACACAAGATGATAAATGCACGATCTCTCCACTCTGAACTCAGGTAGTCAACCGTACAGGAAGTCAGATAACCCTACCAGAACAGAGAAGCAGGAAATAAATAAAATGTACGCAAGAGATATGCAAAAAATGCAAAAACATTCCTTTAGAAAGATAGAGACGTTCTTTTCCAACATCGAAGGAGACGTTATCCTGGGAATACACAATGGAATATGAGGTTAAAGGAATATGATACAAGATGGAGACAGTAAATTCCGCCATAGAATGAGTCGCCCAACAAACTGAAAGCTTTTTTACTGGGAAGAAAGAGATTTACACAGAAGAAAAGTTTGCAGTCGGATGGTACCTCGGGTGCGTAACGGCTGAAACCGACGAAAGGTGCAACCGTGATCAGAGCCGACAAAGACCAAATGCACGCGATCAACCCCCCTGTCTGCAAGGAAAGAAAGAGTTAAAAAAGGGGTCCTCGTAGCATTGGGTGGCATGCACTTTTTAAGCGACCGACCCCGATGCGCCCGAATCGCTTCCTCTTGTCGAAGGGATCTGCAAACACCAGGTAGCGATGGACAGAGATGGCGGTGACGGACCAGATCGCGGCGAAACCGGACAGGGACCCCATTGCCCCGAACACCTGACAACCTGGAGGGAATTCAAGAGATTGCTTTATTTTGTGGTTTGCAGCTTTTGTGGAAATTTTGAAGGCCATTACCGTTACGACTGGAATATGCGTTACTGGCCGTGTTCCTTCCTGCGCATCACGGAAGGGGGAAGCCAGATATTATATTTCCGCATGTACGCGGATGATTGTACTTGTCAAAAGTCATTTTCAAAAAAACGTGTGGTAGAAAAAAAGTTGTGGGTCCGAAGCTCCTAAACTTTATCACATTAAAATAGAAACATTTATTTGAAGAAAAAAAGTTTGGCAGGTCCTCCGATGTTTGTCCGCAATCCAGACGCAATCGAGGCAACTCAGCGAAACATTGCCTCAGGAGCTAGCTGGACTTCCTTTCATTTTTCCCGAGAAAATCACTTTGAATACGATCAATGCGAACCTTCCCTTACGGAAATGTCCTATAGGAAACCGATAGTTATTTCTTATTAGAAATTTTTAGACTTTCCAATAGGTTTTTGAAACACGAAAAACCTATAGAATCCTATAGGATCCCTATAGGGTCTCATAGGTCTCCTGACCTATAGGATTCGGGGAGGATTTTTTGGGTTTCGAAACCCAGGCATTACGACGGAAAAGGCGACCGGGGTTAATATTGACGCAGCAATTTGGTGTAAATCAAATACCGATTAGGCGTTTTTCCATGGTAGGGACACTTGCATTATTAATACCTGTATTGCACGGGTCTGTATAACTTATGCAACCGCCCCATATATGTCGCTAGAGTGCACGTCTACTTCCTTCGAGTGAGAGAAGTAGTGTTCTTCTCTCGACCTAAAGAAATAGAAGACAGAACCTGCGAGCACGTCCCTTTACTGAAACTCCATTTTAATAAAGCCTACTCCCTCTCGTACGTGGTTTTCAAAAGGAATAAGGGCATATTTCTTGCCTGGACTCCATGATTCTATCTGGAAGATGGGGATGACAAATAAGGAAGTGTCAAAGTTTATTGATTGCTACAATGAGGCAAGGCGAGACATTTGGGGATCTTGAAAACTCTCTTGTGAGAGATGATTCCTTGGGTAAGGGGAGGGCACTTTTGTGCCCTTTGAGGAATATGAGAACCGATTACTTCCATCTAGTGGCCTAGAGGAGAACTTCAAACGGAACCCTTTAGACCTATAGGGTTCCGTATAAGCCCTATAGGGAACTCTATAGGTCCTATAGGTCCAATAGGGTTCCGTATAGGCATTATAGGGAACCCTATAGGTTTTTAGGGAACCCTACGGGTCCTATAGGGAACCTATAGGCCTTATGGGGAACCCTATTGGTTCTATAGGGAACCATATAGGTTCTATAGTGGGCTCTATAGGTTCTATAGGGAACTCTATAGGTCCCAAACTGAACTCTAGGGGGCTTATAGGAACCTATAGGATTCCTATAGGATTCCTATATATTCCTAAAGGAATATATAGGAATCCTATGAGACATTTTCGTAAGGGTTTCTTTTGCGATGGAGGGCAACGGGAGGGTATGTAACATAAAAATTGCATGAAGCACTCGGGAAATGCGCAGGGAACGCAGAAACTTTGCACATCCGAAAATGTGGGATATCTCAAGCCCCCTTCTCCCAGATTATTTCGGTAGTTCGAGGTTCTTAGATAATATCGATGAAATGTGGCATGGCGAATAGTCTAATAGCGTGAATAAAAATATATATATTCCAGAATGTGGGGTTTTCTTTGGGGGCGGGGGTCTTAGCAAATTTTTTTTGGACAGATTCTGCAACTGTAGAATCGGTGAGGCAAAATTTGGCATAGAACCAGACCTGCAATTTTTTAAATACATTAACTGTAAAACGACAGTAAATGTTCACGTAAAAGTAAAGAACTTAATGTGGAGATAAAAAACAAAAATCTCGTTTAACTCTTCGACTCCTTTTCTGCCGAGATGCATCTGGATTCCGCTCTTCCAGGAAAATAATCTTGCGATGCAGTGTAGGATTGCATATCATGGCAATGCTTCGGCATCGACCCGCTTCTGGTTCGAGNTGCAAAGCGGAAGGAACCAGCCGATAGATGCACACAAGATGATAAATGCACGATCTCTCCACTCTGAACTCAGGTAGTCAACCGTACAGGAAGTCAGATAACCCTACCAGAACAGAGAAGCAGGAAAGAAATAAAATGTACACAGGATGTAGGCAAAAAATGCAAAAACATTCCTTTAGAAAGATAGAGATAGGTCCTTTTCCAACATCGAAGGAGACGTTATCCTGGGAATACCGGGAATACAGAATGGAATATGAGGTTAAAATAATATGATACAAGATGGAGACAGGAAATTCCGCCATAGAATGAGTCTCCCAACAAACTTAAAGCTTCCTTACTAGGAATAAAGAGATTTACACAGATGAAAAGTTTGCATTCGGATGGTACCTCGGGTACATAACGGCTGAAACCGACGAAAGGTGCAACCGTGATCAGAGCCGACGAAGACCAAATGCACGCGATCACCCCTGCTGTCTGCAAGGAAAGAAAGAGTAAAAAAAGAAAAGGAGTCCTCGTCGTATTGGGTGGCATGCAATTTTTAAGCGACCGACCCCGATGCGCCCGAATCGCTTCCTCTTGTCGAAGGGATCTTCAAACACCAGGTAGCGATGGACAGAGATGGCGGTGACGGACCAGATCGCGGCGAAACCGGACAGGGACCCCATTGCCCCGAACACCTGACAACCTGGAGGGAATTCAAGAGATTGCTCTCTTTTGTGGTTTGCAGCTTTTGTGGAAATTTTGAAGGCCATCACCGTTACGACTGGAATATGCGTTACTGGCCGTGTTCCTTCCTGCTCATCAGGGAAGCCAGATATTATATTTCCGCATGTACGAGGATGATAGTACTTGTCAAAAGTCATTTTTTAAAGAACGTGTGGTAGAAAAAAAGGTGTGGGTTCGAAACTCCTAAACTTTATCACATTAATATAGAAAAATGTATTTGAAAAAAAATGCTTGGCAGGTCCTCCGATGTTTGCCCACAATCCACACGCAATCGAGGCAACTCAGCGAAACATTGCCTCAGGATCTAGCTGGAATCACTTTGAATACGGTCGATGCGAGCCTTTCTTTTGCGATGGAGGGCAACCGGAGGGTATGTAACGTAAAAATTGCATGAAGCACTCGGGAAATATAATAGCGTGAATAAAAAAATATATTTCAGAAATTGGGGTTTTCTTGGTGGCGGGGGTCTTAGCAAATTTTCTTTGGACAGATTCTGCAACTGTGGAATCGGTGAGGGAAAATTTGGCATAGACATAGACGTGCAATTTTTTAAATACATTAACTGTAAAACGACAGTAAATATTCACGTAAAAATAAAGAGTTTATCGTGGAGATGAAAAACAAAGATCTCATTTAACACTTCGACTCCTCTCCTGCCGAGATGCTTCCGGATTCCACTCTTCCTGGAAAATAATTTTGCGATGCAGAGTGGGAATGCATGTCATGGCAATGCTTCGGCATCGAGCAGCTTCTGGTTCGACCGACATGAGATATTCAGTATGATTTTTCAATCTGCGTGTTTCGTTCCCGTCCACGCAAGATCCCCTTTTCCTGGTATGAAATGTAGGGGAGGGGGGAGAGTTTCGATTCGGACGGAATCGGTTTTGAATAATGCACTCACCGAGGGAGCCGAGCGTGGGTCCCTGGTGGAAGCTCTGGACGATGAAGATGGGCGACTTGAGCATCATGAGGAAGTCGGCCAGGGCGAGGCTTCCCACCAGGCAGTTCGAACACGTCTGAAGGGACGGGCATCTGCAAGGATGGAAGCAAGCTTTCAATTAATGCGAGGATCATTGAATAAATTTCTTCGAACGCATAAATATTCCTTAAATTTATTCTTGAATCCGTTGAAATTTTACTCGCATAACATTTAGGTTGTTGGCTGCATTCACGCCGATTCCCATTCGCACAGGTTCTGAAATGTTAATTAAGCTTATATGAAGCCGTCTCCACGTAATAGATGACTTGCCCACGACGCAGTCCTTCTTGAGGATCATTTTCGTCATTTCTGCTCTAGCTGGAGAGAAAAGGAGATTCACCAAGCGACGAAGGAAACACATGGAAATAATGCACCTAATAATCCTTCGATTAGATTATGATCTATCTCACTGATCCATGCCGACGTGATGGAGATGGCTACTCCGCCATCTTCAGGCATTTAAGCAGGAGGTGAAGGTGGCACCATCGTGCCACCCGATTTTTTTAAACACGCATCAGCATCCGCATAGTCAAGTTAGTCCAACAATTGCCTTCCTCGGGTTTCCGCCGCTTCCCACAACTGCCCAACAGCGAAAGTGGGTTTATAGCAATTTAATAATATATCGTACCATCTTGCCATCTTGACTCCCGAGTATAAACAATTAAACACACGCGCAATCACGAGTGCTAAATAAGCGATTTTCGACGGAAACGAAGGAAGCGATCCGTGCGGACCAAGTGCCTGAGAATGAAAGAATAGAATCACCGGAACCAAAGGAGTTCAGCAAGTCCCGAAATGACCGAAAAAAAAAATTTCATACCCTTGCAATAAATTTTTACCTTAGGTGAAATTGGGACGGTGAAACTGAGGTAATAAAAAAAGGGGGGGGAGGGGAAATTTTTTTTTCCTCTTTTACCTGTAATTTACCATAGTTTTACAATTCCTCCCTGGTGAAATTTTCACCAATGATTTTATTAACATTAAGCCATGATTGACATGTGATTAACTACACCCATATGGGTGTTTGGATCCGTGACCTAGAATAAAAGTCAGAAATGCAAGAAAGTCGCATGGTAAATTTGTCGGCAAAATCTCTTTCCAAGCTCTATTAGGTTCTTGGCTGCCCGATCACGAGTCTGAGAATCCTGAATGCGATTTTTGCATCAGCCCATTCCGCGCCACATGATCGAAGCATCGCAGACACCGAGATGAAAAGTCGGATCTTTTGCCTGGGATTCCCCGAATTTCCCCTCTGAGTCTTATCTCTTCCCCAGGTCCTGATTGCGCGGGAGTCCCCTCCGCTGAGCTTCAGATAAAAACAGGGGATTCTCCTCTTTTTCCCTCCGTTTCCCCCCTTCTCTCAAGAATTCAGAAGAGCCTTCAGACGTATTCGACACATCATGTGAAAACGCTATGAAATATAGGTGAACGAGGGGCAACGTTTCGCATGCGAGCAGTGAAAACTATAAGCAACCTCTCGTTTATCCGGACCTAAGGAACCGGAGATTTTGTTCCAATTAATTGCTCCTCCGGATTATGGAGGACGTGACTGAGCTTTCGCTCTTTTTTCCCTCGAGAAGAAAACTGGATTCCTAGTGGACTGAGAAATCTCGCCACCTGGTAGACTTTCCGCCCCCGACAATAGGAATCACTGAGTCAATTCTACGTGTATAAGTGTGTGAAGATATATCTCGTATTTTCCATTTCATTATTCTCCCAAAAAAGAAAAGTCCTCCTCTTGATCTCCGCAACGAGGAAAATAATCCTTCCTCGTGACAAGGGAGGTAGGGAACCTGTTGAGGTTCATTTTTTTCCCTTTCCTTATATAAGTGGATTAATAAGAGGGAAATGGAGGGAAAGGGCGATTAGAAGTTGGTTTTGCCTCATTACCCGATTCTTAGAACGGTGCAGGCAGAAGGGGATGAATTATTTTTCCTTCTTGCTCTATACAATTCCTGGAATGAAGGGGGGGGTGAGGGCTAAACTTCGAAAAAGATATTGCGGATACTTTTTCTTTGTTGGCTTCTATCTAATCATCCTGCATTAACGGAATCATCTGGAGTTGAGATACGGATTATTGGGGAAAATGTATCAGGGGACTAGGGACTTGGTCTTAGGAAACTGGAGCTTGAGAACGACGATGCCACTCGGTTCAAAATCCGTATTTAAATAGACATTGGTCCCGTGAGATTTCGGCCAGGAAAAAAAAAAGTTTATGTGAGGCAGTCTCGCCCCCTTACAGCTCACAGGCGAGAAAGTTTCTTGATGACACTGTGATCGGGCGAGACGACTCTTTCACTGCCTAGGTCGATCATCCAGTCATTGATTTTTCTACGTGGAGAAGGACGCGAAGGACTTGATAGGTCAGAGAACAGCTACGAGTTTAATTGACAGACAAAAATTTTCATGCGTCTGAGGTGCCATTCACACAGTAAAACCGGAGGTGCTGGTCAAAAATTCGTGTGGAAAAGCAGCTTGAGGTCTGCAGTCACAAATGGGGTATTTTTAGTCTCTTTTTCAAATTTCGATTAAATTTCATCGTACTTCAAGAGAATTTTCATTCAGCGTTGAAATAAAAATTTGTCAATTCGCAAGACATATTCAAAATTCGCCGAGGAAGAAGGTGTGAAGTTAAAAGTAAAGCTCGGTGGTTGAAGGACTGAAGGTCGCATGAGCGAAGTCAGCAACATGTCGAACCTATGGATTTTATACGATCGAGTGGATGGGAAACGTTTTTTCATTCTCGACTATATTCACTTTCCCGATATCCGAATGGAGAAAAGCTTTTCCAGACGCTTCAACTTAATGGGGGATGAATTAAATGTGCATGCAAGAACGTGAGCTATTTAGGGGATTTAGAAAATCGATTTTTTTCTTAAGGGATGAGAACCTTTAACCATCGTCGGTGCATGCATGAGAATCAACGCGAAGCTTTTGTCATTTTATACCCGAATATTTCTGCTTTAAAGATAAAAATATTTTTCAGATCGCGCTTCTGTGATATTTCCTTAAATTGAAAATGATTGGTTTTAGGACATTTAAATTGGGAAACTAATAGAGGGTGAGTGTGGGGTAAATGGTGACTAAATCAAGTCCGGTTAGAATAGCTTCCTGGAATGGGAAAGACGGGAAGGAGTAAACTAAGGTTTCCCTTACGAAAATGTCTTATAGGATTCCTATATATTCCTAAATGAATATATAGGAATCCTATAGGAATCCTATAGGAATCATATAGGAGTCTATAGGTATCCTATAAGAAATAACTATAGGTTTCCTATAGGACATTTCCGTTAGGGTTTGCATGGTGCGGCTAGTATTTTCCAGATATGGAGAGTAAATAATCGAGAAGTTAAAAAAAAAACTTCAATATATCGCATCCAAACGTAATATCGAAAACGGGCAAACCTGATGATGAGAAAAAGGATGAGGCCGTTGCCGAGTAGGGAGAATATCATGAAGAAAATGTAGATGATTCCCAGGACATAATTCACTCTGGGATCCGGAGCGAGAAACTTGAGCCAATGCTTGGAGATGTAAGGCAGGAACTCCTCCGGAGCGTTGTCGCCGATGTACGTCGATGTGGGACTGGTTGAACCCTCCATCGCCTCTCATAGCGCGTCATCTCCCTGCTCCTGGGCAAGGTAGCTCCTTATATCCCCCTCCCCTGCTTTCAATTGCTCGACCGGCGCATGTCGCGCCTGCCACATTTGATATCGGAGGGAATCTGCGGCATTACCTGCGTCGACTTTCCAGAATGTGTGGGGGGACGGGAGTGTTCCATTTCATGCCTCAAGTAGACTCTTCCTATGTTTCCTCCAAGCGAGGTTCGATTTCAGATGGATTCGTTCAGGTCTCCTGAGGAGTAAAAAGTGTTATCCTCATTGTGTGGCCGGAGGCATGGGGATGGATAATGCACGTTTTTCCCATGTACGTTATTCCAGGAACTCCAACTGAGAACCTTGTCATTTCCCTCTGTGAGTGGGCTTTGCTGTTGCTAACATGGAGGGAAGAAGATGAGTAGCATTTATAAGCAATCTCCCATTAACCAGGAATTTTCTAAGCAACATGATCCATTTGAGATCTGATATTCGTAAGTAGCTCCGGAAGGACTGAGGGGGGGACGTGATGAACGAATGGAAATGTCTGAAGCGGATTTTCCAGAGGGACGAGGTCGTTACACCTCAACCCTTTCCAAGGCGTTCGTCTCACTTTTTAAGGCTCACCATCTTCACATTGTTCTCGTTACTTGATATGGTAGAAATGTATACCTTCCCGTCGAATTTGCTTTTCTTTTTCCCTGAACATGTGGTCGGCCAATAGGTCAGGAAAAATTAATGTAGTTCGGCTTCGACAACTAGAAACGTTAGAAAGTGGAACCCATTCTGTCCATTTCTGTTCCACACGACTCGATTTCGCGATGAGACCCATTTTTGAAGGGCGTAAACGCTCATCAGTCAATTTAAGGGGGGGGGGGGGGAATGACGGTCCTCCACAAGAGTAGCAAGTCGCAGTGAGCATGGTAAATCCCCGAAGCAGATTGAGGGAGTTCCTATTTGGCGAAGGGAATTTACGGCTATGATTCCCAAATTTATAATTCCAAAAATCCCACTTTCCATACCTAATTTATTTGAGAGATAATGCAGTACGCTGGAAAGTGGTAATAAAATTGGGGCTGTCACGATAGCAGTTTTCAAAACATCGATGCATCAAGCTGAACTATCGATAGTTTATCGATGGATCGGGGGGTAGGGGGGCGGGGGTCGGAGGATTCAATATTTTCTCACCGCGATTGGGCGTAAGTTTGTCTTCCATCGTTTCTTGGCTCGATCGAAGCGCGGACCTCCAACCGTCTTCCATGATCTCACTCGTGTGATCGGGCTGAATGTGTGACCCTCGCGAGGAGTAGTGGAGCCTACCATGCCTGCAATTATCGAAGATTCGATCCATTCATCGATGGATGAATCAGGACAGCCTTAATTTTTTCTTATTGCCGTTTAGAATCAGTTGCCAACCCCGTTCGTGAAATTTTTTTCTTCCTATTTTTTTTGTTCCACACGGTCTTCTTTGGACATTGGCACCGGCAGATAGGAAACCTGGCGATGGTGCCAAACCGGCGGTTGCGAAAACATTTGGTACATACAGCCGATAATAAGCAACGTCCGTGCAAAAAAATTCCCTTTTAGTTCACCTCAAGTAAAGAGGCTAAATGCCCTATGACTAGTCAAAAATTTAAAAAAGTTAAGCTTGTATACCAAAGAGAAGGACGGTAATGTTGCGTTTCTGCAAGTTGAATCGGGAAATCTCCCGTAGACGGCTGATTGCCGTACTTATACTTTTATCAGAAAAAGATTTGGCAAGTGGGTAAGGGAACACGATTGCCGTCTGATGGATGCATGGTTTATTCACGGATGACTACAGGTTGTATGAGATTCAGGGGCTGTCCGAGAGGTACAAATCTTCGTCCAATGTTGGGAACTCCAAACGACGTCTTGCTGTTTTCCAATGTTTCCGTACCTCCGGGTCTCGGGGGAACCCGGAGCCCTGTCCTCGTCCAGTTGCTGCAACGATATTTCAGGTAGAATCGAGCTCTACTCAAATGGGTGCCAGCTTCAAGTGAGGAGTCGATTAACCGTGGAAATTCTAACGTCTGCAGACACCCAGGTCCAGAGGCCTTCCAATCCGAAAGGAAAGGGATCACCGGTGCTACAATCCGGTAACACTTCCGCTCGAGGTTTGGATGAAACCGAGCCGACCAGTCAATTAACAACTGGAATTCTGGAGGCACCAAGGTCCTGAAGGAATCGTTCGGAGCTGTGGATCCTACACCGTCGTAGTTTCTCCTGGCTCGAGGTTCGAGTGGAGGTCAAACCGAGCAGGTGGTACGTACGCTGATGTCAACAGAGCTCGAGGTTCCTGACCCGCGGACAGATTGGCGGCCGTTTACTCGCAAATGAATCAGCGCCTTCTGAGCCGTTCCACTTCCTTTATGGGTGGATCCACGAATGGAATCGGGTCGACCGAGCTCTGGAGGAGTCGTCCAGCCGCAGACTCTTGGCAGGCTCAGAAGCTTAGATAGAGCTCCAAGCTCGAGCTGCTGAGTCGTGCAAGCGACTGACTGCCTCCTCTTCAACTGAAGTTTTTTATATCGGGACGGAGACCATAAAGTTGGGTCATTTGTGACCGTTGCAAAGAATTCATCAACAAGAAAAGCGGGGGGGGGGGATAAGACATGCCGAGCACACGTGCTGATCACGTGATCGTTCGAGAGTTGGTGCCCATATATCCACATTTCTTGTTTGCTACAGTAATATAGAGAGGGGTTTAACCGTTTCGAAATGAAGGGAGTATAAGAACAGTCCACTTCCTGATGAGATCGAGTAGAAGATTGAAACAGAAAAATAAAATAAAATTTCTCGGTCTTCCCTCCCTCTCCTTTCCCACATTTTTTTCTTCCTTCTCGTCTTTCAATCCCGCCATTTCCAGAATTAGATCGTGGTTGGAAATCGGAAGCAACCTCTTCCTTTCCCGCTCGGACGGATTGCATTCGCCGCGATCCAAAATGGGACATTTCCCACCTAAAAAAAATCGTTTGCCGATGCATCGCGATGGTCGAAAAAAACGATCGATAGTGGGATCGATGGATCGATCAATCACTTTTTCCATTTCGCCAACCCTCTCCTGTTTCAAAATTTCGTCGCATCGGTATTTCTTTACAAGAGTACTTGGAAAAGTTGAAACTTAGCATGACCGAAATTCCGGATTCAGAGTTATTAGAGTGAGGAAATGGAGAAAAAAAAAATCCCCGAGTAACCGAAGAAATGCCGCCAAATGATCGCGTCTCGGAACCAACTGAACACTGTCCCTTCCGTCTCGCCTATGGCATGGAGAAGCGGAGTTTCGACGGGCTAAGGTTGCAGAGGCTTAGGTCGGATTGGCCCGGACGCAAAAAATATTCTGGGTTCAGTCGATTCCCGGACGCCACGTGCAATATATGGGCTCGTGGAGGGTGACACAAAAATTAAATGAGCTGTTTCAGGCTTCTCGTGCGGTCTCCAGTGCCCCCACGATTCAGCAGATGCCGTGCCGGAGTTTCGTCGGATTCCGACAAGCGACACGCTTGCATATCATCGCCGGAATCCGCTGTTCATTCGTGGTGAGTTTTCCCAATGGACGAGGTGAGGTTGAAAGAGCCGCTAGCCGTGGTCGATGGATCCTTTACGGAAAAAGGTCCTTTATAAAAATCCTACGAGATTCCTATCCTCATCACCCCAAGCATCCAATTAATAAAAACCTACTTCGGATAACTGGTATGGTTTTCCGTTCTCTCTTCTTAAACTTTCTTCCCTCCAAATTTGACCGCATTTTTTTCCCATGTCAAAATTTCGTCAATTTCACTTCGTCAAGAAGCCACGAAGTGAAAAAGGCTCTAGACGCTAGCTCAGCATTCGATTTCAAGAGGCGTTCTCGACGCCGTAGCGTCTTTTCAGTGGGCCTCCTTTCCTGAGAGGCAAGAGACCGCTTATGCGGTCCTTGCGTCACGCTTTAATTGTCCGACGGTAAATAAAAAAATATTGGCCTGATCGATGAGAAAATTGGCAAGCGGATAGAAATGAACAAGATACAGGCCGAGTTCGTTTTGTGGCGAATTTGCTCCAAAATTGTCATTTTTATTGCAAAGTTTGGATTATAAGTTTTAAATTTAAATGTTAAATTTTAAGGCACGAGTACCTGTGAGCCATTCTGATTCTGGACCACAATGCGCATGCGCGTACGACCCAGGCTCTTGGGCGCGGCGCCGATTCAGAAACCGGAGCAGTCAGTTCCCTCCCAACCGTCGTGGCGGATGGATGCAACCACGCAGAGCCCTCCATCCGCCCATCATCGTTTCATGGGCACCGTTTGTTTACCAAATATACCCTGCTGAAAAAGCCTCACTACAAACTCATGACTTTCTCCTTAAATCTCACGAATTTCTCATGAGATTGTCCGAATATCTCATGAGGAAATCCTCATGATGTAATCCTCATGAGGTACTTAATGAGGTCTCACGACCTTCTCATGAGAATTGTGCGGTTCCTCATGAGGCTTCGAAACGTCCTCATGAGGATCGAGGCCTCATGAGACCTCATGAGACCTCTTGTTCGAAAACCTCATGAGGATCTCATGAGGTTTCCTTGTGAGATTCTCACGAGGTTTTTTCAGCAGGGGACAGTCAGCTAACTGACATTTCATGGCCTCTAATGGGATGACCTGTCAAGCTCGCCAAATCCCAGTAACTCGACCATATTTTCATATCGTACCACATCGACTGGTCACCTCTAACCACTGCTTCGGTCTCACCTCATCCCATGAACTCAGCACAAAAACATATCGTTAATTAAAAGAAATTGCAGATCCAGACAACGATACGAAAGCAGAGGCAGTCAGGAATCCGACATGACTCCAGCACGAAATTCGGCAGCTGTGGGAAACAGGGCTGAAGCCAGCAATCGAAGCCTAAATGAACACTACGCCAAAGAGTAGTTCTGGATTTCATCATTACAATTGTGTTTTCCTGATCGAAATCACTCCAATAGTTGAGGAGATCCAAGAAATGCTAATC